TTTTTAACTTGGAATGCTCCCTCTTTGACACAATTGACCTAATCAGGATGATCCTGTGTTGGAAGACGGATAATATGGTCTGACTTGATTTAAAGAGCAAACCGTTTTTGCATGAGGATGTGGGCGTGGCAACATGGTGATTTAAGAAGTGATGCCATTGCAATACGTTTGGCTCTAAATTGCACAGATTTCAGCCGAGGTGCATCAAAATCACTATGATTGACCATCATTCGCCCCTTGAACAGGTATTCATGATGTGGTCAATAGCTTCCACAGCGCCACCTACATTTTTCCTATAGTTATAGCTCAGTGATACAACATCCAATCTGTACCAGATTTATTGTGTGTCATCAGTGAGGATTTTTAGACACACTAATATTGTTGTTGGATATTATTTTTATCTAGACTGGTCCTATGGTTTTGATCTGCTCAGAGACGGGATTATAATGAAATTATGACCCGGTTCTGACTTGGTTAAACTGGGCCAGCAACTCTAAAAAGCGTCTCCCTGGGATTCAATATCTGTCAAGGAATAGAGTTTAATCTGCTTGCCACATAACGTAGAAAGGCTTTTTGAAGCACCGTCTCATTTCCTAACACATCAGAACCACATCAGATCCAATGAAATTAGTGGTGCACCAATAAATCGGCCCCGATTTCCTTAATTTTGGGAAATTGGACGATACTTGCATGAGAAACCAATTTTTTTTGTTATAACAATTGTCTAAACTTCATTTATATTTCAGAGCACTATCTCATGGCCAGATAAAACAAGTTTGTATTGTTTCTAGGATATTGTTCAAGGGTATGTTTTTCAATAAAATAATATTAGCAAATTGAAGGTACATTGTGACCTAAACACCTGACAGTGTCGCTTATATAACAAAATCGGTATCGGCCAAAATCGGAATCGGCAGGTCAGACTTTTTAGAAAACTGTGATTGGTGCACCCCTAATTGAGATCACACTTAGTCATACCCCCTCATACACTGACAGGTTGAGCTCCCCTTCTGCGAAGGAAGAGTCTAGGACCCTATAAATGAGTAATGACACAGGACATTGGGGCTCTTCCGGGTTTGTGAATGTGTCACAGACCGGAGAGACCAGTGCTGTAAACTGTAACCTTTTCCTGCCTTGATTTTAATACAATTGGTAAAACTTAATTGATGTCTCCTTGAGTTATTGTTTAGTATGATTTGCCACTTCTGAGGGAGATTCGAGCCGGGGGAAGCGACGTGGGCTGGAGGCGGGTCCAGGGTCCGAGAGGGGGACCTCTGGGTGACCGGTAACCTGCAGCCAGCCCTGGTCCAAACGCAACATTGCGGTTTAACATATGACTCTAGTGCGGCCCCTAGATTATCCCAACAGTTGTATCTCAATGATACATCATCCTATCCGCACCAGATTTTTGGTGCGTCATCTGTGAGCATTTCTAGACACATTGGTATTGTTGTTTAACATTTGACTCAAGTGTGCCCCCTACATTATTCAAACTGTTATATCTCAATGACATATTATCTAATCTGCACCAGATTTTTTGTGCGTGATCAGTGAGCACTTCTATATATTTGTGTTATTTAACATTTGAATCGAGTGCACCCCCTAGATTACTCCAAAAGTTCTCAGTGATATTTCATCCAATATGTACCAGATTTTATGTGTGTGATCAGTGAGCACTTATAGACACATTGATATTGTTCTTTAACAATGGATTCAAGTGCACCCCCTACATTATTCCAACAGTTGGATCTCAGTGATACATCAGAGCTGAACCTGAGTTTGTATGTAGTTTTTGTGCTTAATCAGTGATCACTTGTAGACACATTGGTATTGTTGGTTGTAGATGAACAGATGCTGGGATATATTCATCATTTAACACGGATTCCTCATTTTTCTGGACTGAATAAAACGTGCATTGAATTTAAGGAAATGCAACCGTGAGACGTCATTTATGTTTGACCCATCAAAATGAATGCGGTCATTTATTTACAGAATCAAACTTTAACATCAAACATTTACATTAATTTGGCAAATTATGAAAATAACAACATAAGCAATCAATCAGGAAAAATCATACGGCCATGATTTTTCCGTTGCTTCACCACAGACACTTATGAAAACTGTACAACTATGATCTTTTACCCACACGGATGTGAATAAGCACTTTACACAGACATTTCTAAATATCTGGAAGAATTTCTACTTGATAGAAAAGTTTAGAGATGAAAGAAGTTTAGAGGGAGTTAAGATGGTATGTGAGGGGAAGAATGTTCACCAGAATTGACACTCTCCATCAGAACTCAGCTCTCCATAGGTACGCTTGGTAGGAAACTTGATCCATTACCTTTCTGAAGATTCATCAGCAGATATGGAGTTCCGTTAACGCTACCTGTCCAGCGTCTCCTGATTGTGGCTGTAGCTCGTCAGAAGTAGTGGCTAGTGATAGTTATAATCCCATGGAACTCGGAAGAGCTTTGGTCATGTCAGGATCATCCTGTCTCCGACAGAACTCGAGCAGAACCAGCAGAAAACTCTCCAGCAGAAAACTCCCACCGAACTCTAGCAACTACTGAACTCCAGAACTCTTAGAACCCAGCAGAACTCGTGTAGTTTACAGAACTCCCACAGAACTCTAGCAACTACTGAACTCCAGAACTCTTAGACTCTGAGAACTCTTAGAACTCTTAGTAGATCAGGAAGTACTGACATTTTAAAGACTCTTTCCCGGTTCAC